TTCCCACCTGCTTACTGTGGCTTTGTTGTCCTTGCCTTGGGTGGCAAAGTAGTTACATTGCACAAAAGGTAATACTTTGAGTCTCTCCATTCAAAGTGTAGCCTGTACTACGCTGGCGCTCTAGTTCTCTGTCAAGGGCTAGGAATGAAGAAAGAGAAGAAGGTGCCCCAGACCTCAAGTCTGTCTAAACATGCAACCAGAGGCTAAGCTTATATAGTAGGTGATAGCCAGGCTGTGGGAGTCACACAGAGCCAACCTCCGTGTGTGTGTGTGTGTGTGTGTGTGTGTGTGTGTGTGTGTGTGTGTGATTGTGTGTTAGGTTGACAGCTAATATTTTTCTCAATGGTTTTCCACTTCTTTGGGGAGGGGGCAAGTTCTCAAAGAATCTGTAGTTCATCCATTGAGCTACACTGGTTGGCCAGCAAGCCCCAAGGATCTTCCTATTTTCACCTCCTTGGGGTTGTGATTACAGACTTAAGCCACCATGCCCAACTTCGGAGAGAATCTAAACTCAGGCCCTCCTGCTTGAGTGACAAGTATTTTCCCAGTTGAACTGTTCATCTCTTCAGCCCAAGAGTTATGTTCTTACTTTCTAGAAAGGTGTGAAAGTAAGAGGGGGTGCTCAGGAATTGTCTGATGGGCTCTGTAGGTAAAGGCATTTGCCGAGAATCCTAATGACTTGAGGTGGATCCTGGGACCCATGTGATGAAAAGAGGGAACTGAATCCTGCACGTTGCCCTCTGACCTCCACACATGTAGTATGCACATACCAACAACAACACTACAAACACACACACACACACACACACACACACACACACACACACATTACTAAGTGAAATTTTCTTTTTTAAAGAAATAATATTTCTGTCCTGGGAAGGCCCTTTGGAAGGCAAGCTTGAGGAGATTAAATATCATCCAGAGCTATCACAGCCTATCCTCAGTGGACTGCAGTCTGTCTGTGCTGGACACCAGTGAACAAGAAATTAAGACAGAGCATGTCTCTGAGCACCCACAGCCCAAGGTACAGAGTGTTAATAGCAGCCACATTCACCCATAAACTGGTACAGAACAAAGGGTGATGATTCCACTTTATTAATTAAGAAACTTGGGCCAGAAGAGAGGAATGTAGCCCAAGGCTTCCCTGACAGTGTAGGGGGCCCTGGGGTGCCCCAGTCTTGTGCCTCCCATTGAATTTATGCTTTGTGACATTATCATTATTATTATTTTATAATTACTTATTTTTGAGGCAGGATCTTTCCATGTTGCCCTGGTTGACCTCCAATTCCCATGGTCCAGCCATTCCCATGCCTCATCCCCCTGCATACGTGTGTTCAGTAGGCACATACCACCATGCCCAGCTCAGGGACTTTTTTTTTTTTTAGCAAAAGTGAATCACCGAAGAGAGATCTAAAACTACCCCCTGAAGGAGGTAGAGTGCTAAAAGTCTGCTTGCCCAGCTCCTCTCTGAGAACATTTGGGACTATAGGAAAGTCCAGGCAGAGTCCTGAAGGCTTTGTGTAGCCAGGCTTCTGCCTGGCTCAGCTAACATTACTTACCAGGTATTGAACAGGTGATGCACAGTGAGACTCAGAAAGCTCATATGGGTGGCACACTCCCAGGCCGTGGACTGTTGGCTGTGCTGTATAAAACATTGCATTCAGGTAATTCTGCTGATGAGCCAGGCTCTGTAGTTGCTCTGGCTACAGTGGGAATGGAGAGTGTGTTGTTTGTTCTCATAGAGCATAAAGCTAGTGGGGAAGGCAGCCTTTCGAATACCACTAAGAGAGACACAGATGGCAAATTGGGGATATGAAGGCAGAACTTACAACCAGAGAGACACATGTGCAGGGATACCTGAGCAATTGTCTATGTGACAGGAAGCAAATCTGGGCCAGTTGATACTTCAGACCAATGGCAAAGTAGGTGTTGGCATCAAGTGAAGATGACCAAGGACCAGGAGCTGGCAAAGGAGCTGAACTTGAGTGTTCCTCATTCCCCAGGCATTCCCAATGGTGCAGAGAAAGGAGAGGTCCCTGGACCAGAAAGAGGAGCATGAGAGATACTTTCATTCCCTAATTCAGGAAAGAACAGAGATGTCTTCTGTGGAGGGTTGGATTATTGCAAATCTAGAATTCAGTGCAGTGAATAGCAGAGAGCAGAAACCAGGAAAAAAAAAAAAAAACATTATGCAATCATAATGTGTCCACACTGTGTGGCGTTCAAATCCACCCCAAGGTGGGGCCTGCACATTGGAAAGCTGTTATTCTGGAAGACCTTTCTCAGCTGTCCAGATCCAACTCTAGCTCCCCTTGTTCTCCCTCATTTAACAAATATTTAACCAACACCTGGGGTCGTGAGTACTGTGCTCGCTGTACATGTCTGGCTCAGAGCCAGGCCTGTGTAAACATTTAGCCCTTTCTGCAGAGCTGAGGCCAAGGGTATAGGTAAAATTCCAGCACAACCCCCATTTTCCCCACCTCCCTGAGCTATTGGAAACTTGCTACTGAAGCTGCTCAGAGGAAGGCCAGGCAGCCACTTGGTGCCCAGTGTAAGTCTCTTCTGTGTCAGGTGGATGTTAGCTTCTGGATTCTGACCAGGTGTGTGTGTGTGTGTGTGTGTGTGTGTGTGTGTGTGTGTGTGTTTGTGTCCTACATCTCCACAGCTGAGTTTCCTCAGAGATCACCATTCTAGGCCTGGCATCTCTCTGCCGATATCAACCTCCCTGTCTTGCCCAGCCCTGCCTTTCTTCCACTTCACCTTAGAAGCTACTTTTTGGAGAAGCCCCTCAGTCATCCTGGGCATCTGTCTCCTCTGCTTATTGCCTGCCATCCTTGTTTCTGTACATCTCAGCACTCAGTGTGACGGCTAGGTGGGGTCCATGTGGGATCTGTGTCCCACCAGACTCTGCTTTTCTTGCAGGGCAATTTGCGTCTGTAAAATAATAATGTATAGCATTTGAGTGTGGCCCATAGGAGGTAGGCGCTCAGTTCATAAATGTTGAGAAAATATATTCATCCTCACAAATTCAAATACTAACCTTTCCTCTCTACCGAAGTCTACTATCTCTTACACACACACACACACACACACACACACACACACACACTCACACGGACACACAGACACACACGTTCGTGCGCGTGTGAGCGTGCACTGCCCTTTTGATACAGTCTTCCCTTTGCTGACTCACTTTCTCGTGTTCACCTCTCTGTTGCACAGCATCTCTCTCTGGGTACAGACCCACTTACAGTTATCTAAAGAGTTTCCGACCTTGGCAGTAGAGAGGGATGGGTCTGAAACCTTCACCATACATGCGTACCCATCTCAGCCTCTGAACCCCTCCTTGATAATCAGATCCAGCCATGCATGTCACGGAGTCCACATGTGGATTTCCTGAACCCTTGCAACAGCACAGGAGACAGTCAGTAGGAGGTAATGAATTCATTTTACAGATTTAAACAGCCAGCCAACCAACTAACCAACCAACCAAACAAACAAACAAAAGGTGAGCCACAGAGAGGCCATGTCTTTCCCAGGTGGCAACACCAGAGTGGAAACCTTCCTTTATCTGGGCTCAATCTCTTTCTGAGTTACATCAGGGAGTGTAACTACTTTACCTGTCAGTCCCTCAGTCCCAGAAGTTCTAGAACACCCTCACTTGTCTAGGGACAAGTAGGGAACTTCTGTAAGTCTCATCTCCCTGCCTTTTCCTCCTGAATTGAAGCCACTGAACACAGCTGTAGCTGTGCCCTGTTCATGTCCTGTCCCCACCTCCAGGCCTCCTAACCCCCAACACTAGATGCTCAGTCCCCCAGGGGATCCTAAAAGGACAATGTCCTAGTTCAGGAAGGAGCCACTGAAAAAGGTAGGCTGCGGGAGAGATGAGAAGAGGCTCTCATGAGTCCCCTGACACCAGCCACGCAATGGACACCAGCCAACCCTATGCAACTGGGTATCTGGGCGATGTCATGAGAGAGGGCCACCCAGAGCTTTTGCCTGAAGTATTGCCTGGGTTTGTGGGCGTCAGTCCCTGAATATTGAGTCTGCAGCTTTCAGTGTCTCTTCCCCCTGCCCCCAAAAAGACTCATTCCCTCTTCTAGAGGGCATGAATATTTAAAGAGATTTTTCCAGCCACTGGAACCGCACCACATTGCTGCTCTTCCTTTAAATTTATGTCCAGAAAGTTTGCCCGAGTTCCTCTCCATGTTCCACCTTCCCTAGCACAGAATATCAAACAGAGTCCCTGAGAAGTTTGCCTCCTTTTGCCAGGAGGGTTATCAGGGTTGTTGGCTGTGTTTGGGGGCTGAAGATGTGTGTGTAGTCCTCCTGATTATTCTCCATGGCCACACAGAGAGTTAAATCTGAAAACCTCCTGACACTTCAGTACTTGGAGAAGCAAGATAATCAGGCATGGGGAGGAACAGTGGTGTGAGACGGCAGATTAGTGGACAGAGTCCAGAAGCACAGGACCCCCGGATCCCACGGGAGCAGCCTCAGCACTGACTGCTGAGCTGATCAGGATTCTGAGTTTGCCACTACGTGACTACTCCAGCCCCAGAGCCACCTCCTGCTGGCCCCCTTCAGCATCTCTGCTGTGCAGAATTCCTCGCAGCCCCACTGCATCAAATCTCTCTTATCAACAAGACACAACACACCCAGGATAAGTTTTTAAAACTCCAGTCACGCCAAGCTGCTTCCAAGACTCCGGGAAGGGTTCCGTTCCTCTGCCCATCTATAACCAATCAGCTACACATCACCAACTCCATTTCTAAGGTTCCAGGCAATTACAGCCTCCTGAGCTCTCTGGCTGGGCGCCTACCCGCCCAGGGCCAGGGCCCAGGTTGTCAATGGTCTCTAGTCTCAGGCGCTTATTTCACAGCCTTCTTAGAGAGTCAAGACTCCTGCACACCAGGAGTGATACACTCAGCACACTGAAGCAAAGTGGCCAGTCAGGTCACATCAAGGCAAGGCGCAGTAGTGGAAGCCAGTCTCCCTACCTTTGCTGAGGGTCCCGGTGATGAGTTTAAAGATGGTCTGGGCAAATTTCACGAACCCGAGTCTGCATCTTTTGGAGCAGCCGCTCATAGTGGCAGAGGGGAGGCAGGTTCTTGCAGTCAGCAACCAGAAGGGATAGTACGCACTTCGTGTGCCTCTGGACCTTGGAGCCTGCCTAGGTGAACCCTGAGAGATGGATGCACCTCAGAAACCAGTCTCCGGCACAGCTGCCTCCGCAGTGAGTCCAGCGCTGCATCCAGAGAGCCTGCAGGGCAAGCCCTCCCTCCTTCTCCACCCCCTCCTTCTGGCCACTCAAGTCCTCGCCACAGGATCACCTCGGGATGCCAGGACTGGGAAGGCACTGCCAGGGTATCTCGGGCTCAGAGAACAGTCCACATGCGAGTGAAATTGAGCAGAGCAGGGAGGGAGGAGCTGGAGCCCTCCCAGGCTTTGCTGACAGTCTTGCCTACATGGCAGCGGTAATGTAGCAATTAATACTCTAGTCAGAAGGGAGGGACTACTACACAGAAAACGCGGCCCCACAGCTCCCGCGCTCCGCAGGCTCACTTTCCAGCTCACTCTCTCTTCCACTCTGTTTTTCCCCTTTAATCTAATAGATCAATTCTTGGAACCTTGATCTGGATCTAGGAGAAAGCCCCACAGAGCAGGAAGCTGCAGCTGCCCCAGGTACTCAGTGGAAAGTTTGCAGGCAGCCTGGGACCAGAGAGGCCAGGGTGCGCGGAGAGCCACCCTGGGGAAGCAAATCTGTATACCTTGGGTGGAGAGACAGATGTCTCCACGTTCCGCAACCTAGCATCCACGGCAGGTGCTGTCTGCTTCCCTGACTCAGAACAGCCAGCGGTGCTATCCCCTGGCTTCAGGGACCCCATCTCGAAAGGAACTGCTGACTCCCAGCCTCTGTTCCTTCAAAGCATGCCTGAGTGAACACTGCCTCACAGGTACGGGAGAGCAGCACAGTTAGCTTCAGAAAGACGTCGAGGGGTGAGAGAGGTTTAAGTAAGTTGACCACAGTGAAGTACCACGAACAGAAACTGCAAGTCTTATGTAAAGCTCAATGGTTGTGTAAGAAACACTTGCTTGTATTTTGTGTAAGAAAGACTGTGTGGGGTAGAAGGAACCTCATGGGACACATCAGTGCTCTACAGTGGCTCTCCTTCACTTCCTTGGTGACTCAGAAGGTCACTGTGGGGATCTAAACCATAAGCATCTCTGGATGCTCTGTGCCTACATGTGGACAGCAGTTATAAACTACACCTCCTTTAAAACTGGTCTCTTCTTCTGCACAAGTTCCTCTGTCCATGATTTTTCCCTGTAGCGTGATCTAGAGCAATAGATTGGCTCAGAGGTCATGAATGGGCAGAAAGACAAACTATAATCCAGAACTCATGCTCTGGGCCATCTGGTCTTGTCCTTCCCGGGAGCGATAGAGAAGTAAATCTTAAAGAAACAGACCCCTGGCCAATCTAGCTCAACCCAAGGAGAGGCCTGGGAGACAGTCTGCAAGCTTTTCTTTAAGCCCCCAGTTCCTTCAGCTTTGCCAGTGTGCTATGCTACCATGTATTCAGTGATGCTGACCGAGAATATCCCGTCATGCTTGATGCCTTAGCCTCTGAGACTGCTACGTTATCAACCCTTTACTTCAAGGCATTAAAAAGCCCCTGTTATGATATACATAGTATCTGGGGATGTAAATGGTTAATATTTTGTTTACTTGTCCAATATATACTGATTCTCAGCATGCAGGAAAGAGCTGGTAGGAGGCTGTTTTCAGAAGCTGAAGCCAGTATCTGATGTCAGCAGCACACACCCCCTGCTGAAGAAGGCTTGAGCTAGCCCATGCCCTTAAGCACCCTTTGTTTTCCACCTTCCATTCTATCTGGGGCACCTAGTCTGCTGGACAATGTCACCCATATGCACTCTGAGTCTTTCCCTTCTATTGGCCTGTCTACATTCCAATCTTTCCCGGAAGCACCCTATACACATACACACTGATGTATGCTTTGCCAATTCTCCACGCATCTCTCAATACAACAGAGATTCACCATCACTCTTAGCCCTCACTGCTTGGCCTCCGAGGATTAAATAAAAAGATCACACTAGTCAGAGAGTCTGAATGGTGCACGCTAAAGTTTATTGTGCCAATTGCAGGGCTTTTACTGCTGCCTCCTTGATCGGCCTGTTTCTGGGCTGCTACTGTCCCCACCCCTGTCCTCATGACATCTACAACACTGGACAAGGATGTCACTCACAGCCAGTATTCTTAAACCTGACCTGTGGGAATGTGTGCGAGGCTACAGAGCAAAAATAAGATGGAATCTTTGCCTGCATACAAGCCCGGTACAGGAATCGCTGTTCATATCAAGTAAGGGTGAGAGGGAAAGCAACGTGAAGACAGTGAGGGCATGGTGAGCTGCAAGGGCTCGTAGACGGGGAACAAAGCCATTCGGTGGGGAGGAGGAAGAAGATGGAGAGAGGACACAAAGCCTTGTAGTCTCTGGGCATCACCAGGCTCGGGATTTTATCTTTCCCAGCAGCAGCTCATACTGCAGCATCTGGATTCTTCTCTCTTCTCTACAAGGTATCACACATCTGAACCCTCAGTCCTAGATGAGTGAGTTGGGACCAGAAAAGGGCAGCATCACCCAAAATGCCACACAGCAGTATCCTCAAAAGCCAGGAGTTCATTGTGCCAAGAACATTAGTAGAGAAGGAAGCACTGGGCTCACAGTAGGAGAATCCAGGACAAAATCATGCTTAAGGAATATGCTATTCTGCCAGAAACTGGAGACAAAAAGGGTAAGAACACTCGCTGGGCAAATGGGAGGATCTGAGATTGGATTCCAACATCCATGTAAAATGCTGGGCATGGTCACATGGGCGCCTGTAACCCCTAACACTGGAGGACAGAGACAGGAGGACTGCTGGCTCGCTAGCGACCATTTAGCTCCAGGTCCAGTGAGAGATCCTGTCTCAGGGGAGTAAGGTAACAAAACAGGACACTTAATCTCCCCCACTGGATGTCCTCTACATGTAATGGTACAGATATATAAGACACACACACACATACACGCACACACACACGCACACATGCACACACATACACACACATCACAAAGAGAAAGAATGGGTGAGAGAGAGAGAGAGAGAGAGAGAGAGAGAGAGAGAGAGAGAGAGAGCAGAAACAGGAGCTGAGGACTCAGGTAGCATGAGGGAAATTAGCTCACCAGCAGGCTTGTAATTAGCCTCTGCGCTGCAGATGTGCATTACCAGGGGAACACAGGAAGCCAGACTTGCTCTCCACCTGACTCCACTCACAGGACTCTTCACACACAGGCTCAGGAGGAAGTGGGACAAGCAGTTGGGGACTCTAGGTAGTCTCTGGTCCTGGAGAGTGCGCTGACTTATCTGAGTTCAAAAGAGGTGGGCATGTTTTTCTTCCAATAGTGAAAAGAACAGAAAGGTTGTCCTCCAGGGGACAGCAATGACACCACCATTCACTGAGCTCCTTCTCCAAGCAAATCCCTGAGTATTCATTTTTCATAACACAAATCCTTATTAGAACTATGTGAGGCAGCTACTATTATTTCACTCGTTCTCTAACCTAGAGAGGGAAAGTAACATAAGAGAGAAACAGAGACAGAGATGGAGAGAGGGAGAAGAAAAGAGGGGGTGTGAGAGAGGGAGGGAGGAAAAAGAGGGTCTTACTGGGTATTCCTGGCTGACCTAGAGTTCTTATATAGACCAGGCTGGCCTTGGACTCACAGACATCTGCTTGTCTTCTTCTCTCAGCCTCCCTAGTGGAGGCTAGGGTTCCAAATTAAAGCGAATAGCATCTTTAGAGAGCTATGTTTGCCTTACTTTCAGAAGAAACAAGCAGTTGCCCATCATACTTAAGGAGAAAACACATTCCCTGAGCAAAAAGCAAATCTTTCCCTGGTCATGGTTGTAGGGTGGGGAGAGGAGGCATTGAGGGAGGCAGCCGGGTCAGAGGCAGCTGCTGTCCAGGCAGGAAGCAGAACACAGGAGCTGCTTGCTTAGAATATTTTATGGAGGAACTTAGGAAGCTGGTGTTGTGGGACACAGGAAACTGACAGAGACTGGAGGATTCACAGAGTGACGATGTAGGAACCAGCTTTTACCTCTCGAGGTAGACCAGGAAGACAAGACACAAAGGAAAAGGACAAGATCATCCCCTGGATTTAGAAACTTGGCAGCAGGACCTGAGAAGGCAGAGAGTCCTTCCAGGAGTGGTGCTGCTGGATGGCTCAGGGGTCTCTGGCCAGGAATGATGAGGATGGCCCTTTTTTTTTAATTTTGGAGTTAAAAATCACAATGATGATGACGCATGCTGGCAGGAGAGAGATCAGCCTGCTGGAAACAGAGTCCTCCCTCCAGCCAGAGCTTCATATACTGTGTTTGAGGCTGGCATGGGGCTACCAGCAAAGCAGATATGGGGTTCTCAGTTGTAACCTGAACAACCTAAGACCAGCGAGGAAGGAGGAACCTCTGGCTTGATCAAACCCTTTATAACCAGCATGGTCTGGATATTTTCTTTTCTAATATCCCACAATCCCTTTGCCCTCACTTATTCACTCAACAAATATTTATCTTATTATATATTATATCTTATTATCATATATATAATTATATATATATATATATATATATATATATATATTGCTACCTACTATGAGCCAGTCAGTAAGAATCACCAACTGATAAATACAAAGCCCCTTTCTATATGGAACTTGCCCTATAGTGCTTGAAGGGGGAGAGGCTGCTGGGGTCACATACAAATGAGGAAGCAGGGAATTCTGGAGTGAAAATACTCAGTCTGTGCTTTAAAATCAGCAGGTCAGGAACCTCCCAGAACTTGCTGGTCAGCTTCTAAGGGAACGACTACAGAGTGGGCAGGCGCTGGGGCAGTCACGAACGTCATACAAACATTGGCAGGATTTGTTTCTCTGGCCCAGTGTGGCTCTGGGTGTTAGATTTAGGGGTTCCCACCCCAGTGATAGTGTAAAGTCATGAAGCATTTGGGTGCCATTATTTATTGTGCCTGTTTATAGACAGATAAGAAGTTGGAGGCTTTCGTGAGGCTCAGTGTAGTTTCATGGTGGAGAAAGGAGGTGAAGTCAATGGGCTAGTGACTGAGGGAGGAGACTGGGAGAGGAGAAAGCGTCTAGAAATCCTGGAAGCAAGCAAAC